AAGTGAAATAGTGGCCCAGGGACATCTGGGAGAGTCAAGAAAGTCCAGATGGCGGACACATTGGTGGATATCTCCTCCTCAGATGATGCTACTGTGGTCTTCTCTCCTTGTCCCAAAGGTGCTATTTTTTCAAGAGGCAACTGGACTTTCTTGTTTTTCTTTGAAGATGTTTCGCTTCTTATCCGAGAAGCTTCTTCAGCTCTGACAGGATGGTAGGGAACGGAAGGACTTACAGCTGGTCATTTGCATCCTTTTTAGAGAATTGTTGAGGCCACTTGGAGGTTTATCTGTGTCCTCAGGCTCACCGAGTCATGCAAATGGGTGTGGAGCCTTCCTCACCATCCGAAGAAGCTTCTTGGATGAGAAGTGAAACGTCTTCAAAGAAAAAACCAGAAAGTCCAGTTGCCTCTTGAAAAAAAAGCACCTTTGGGACAATCATGACCTGGAGGATGGAGAATCCTCATGGGCATCTTTCTTTCTTTGAGTTGGCAACTTCTGACCGACGCGCCTCACCCCTAACAAATCAACGATATAAATTATAAGAAATCAGATGCAGACGTCCGATTCATATGACTGTTACAGTTGACCAAATCCTGCTCTGATCTCACTAAGCAGAAATCTTGTTCAAGATCCTTTAAGCCAGGGGTGTCAAACTCAAGGTCAGGTGTGGATCCAGCCCATGGGGTGCTTAAATCTGGCCTGCGGGGCTGGTCTAGAACTATCAAAGGAGCGGACTGTGGTGCCTCTGGCAGCTAAATCCCCACACCTCATTTTTCACCCTCCATGGCCTCCTGCAGCGCAATGCCGGCCAAAAGTGGGCTGAAAACCAGGCTGAAAGATGGACCCAAAACAGGCTGGAAAATGGCCAAAAAATAGGCCCGAAACAGGCCCTAAAATGAGTCAAAAATGGCCCCAAAACAGGCCTAAAGTATGGCCCCAAAACAGGTCAAAAATGGCCAAAAACAGGCCCCGTAACAGGTCAAAAACGGCCAAAAAACAGGTCAAAAACGGCCAAAAACAGGCCCAGAAACAGGTCAAAAACAGGCCCAGAAACAGGTCAAAAATGGCCAAAAAACAGGTCAAAAACGGCCAAAAACAGGCCCCGAAACAGATCAAAAACGGCCAAAAAACAGGTCAAAAACGGCCAAAAACAGGCCCAGAAACAGGTCAAAAATGGCCAAAAACAGGCCCAGAAACAGGTCAAAAACAGCCAAAAACAGGCCCAGAAACAGGTCAAAAACGCCCAAAAAACAGGTCAAAAACGGCCAAAAACAGGCCCCGAAACAGGTCAAAAACGACCAAAAAACAGGTCAAAAACGGCCAAAAACAGGCCCCGAAACAGGTCAAAAACGGCCAAAAAACAGGTCAAAAACAGGCCCAGAAACAGGTCAAAAACGGCCAAAAACAGGCCCAGAAACAGTTCAAAAACGGCCAAAAAACAGGTCAAAAATGGCCAAAAACAGGCCCAGAAACAGGTCAAAAACAGGCCCAGAAACAGATCAAAAACGGCCAAAAAACAGGTCAAAAATGGCCAAAACCAGGCCCAGAAACAGGTCAAAAACGGCCAAAAAACAGCCCCGAAACACGTTGAAAATGACAAACAGACCCAAATACGGCCCAAAAATGGCAGAGTGCTGCAGGATGCCATGGGGGCCGAAAACGAGTATCAGGGAGTCCGCATGCAGCCAGTTTGTCCACCCCCCCATGCCCTGTTTTGGCCAGCAGGTTTATTTGTTTATTTGATTTATTTGATTTCTATTGCCACCTATACGCCCATGGCAACTCAGGTTGCTGCAGGAGGCACCCATCCCGCCCCCCTGCCCCCAGCCCTGGCCCGCAGAGGAGAACTAAAATGCTGATCCAACCTGCGAAGATATCCATTTTGAGACCTATGCTTTAAGCCCATCTCACTTTCTCGCCTTTGGCTCTTCAACCATGTTCTTCTTGGAGTAATTTCCCTCTTTTTGTTTCCTTTCCGCTCGGCGTAGGCCGCGTGGCTCGGGCCGTGGCGTCCCCCGGGCAGCACATGCTAGGGGCGGACGACGTGGTGAGCTGCTGCCTGGATTTGAGTGTGCCCAGCATCTCTTTCCGCATCAACGGCTTCCCGGTGCAGGGCATGTTTGAGAACTTCAACCTGGATGGGCTATTCTTCCCCGTGATTAGCTTCTCGGCAGGCATCAAGTAAGCTCGACCCCGCGGTAGGGTGTCAACTAAACGGATACTCCTTTGGTCTTTTTAGCTGCCAGAAAAAGTGAGTGGGGGAAAAATAAGGCATTCCTTAAATTCCTAGATCCCGTGTTGGCGAACCTATGCCGCGCGTGCCGGAAGTGGCGCGCAGAGCCATTTCCCCCGGCATGGGAGAGGTCGCCCAGAAGAGCCCCACTGCGCATGTGCATGAACGCCACCACCCGGCAGCTGATTGCCGGGTATCTGGCATGCAGGGGCGGAGGAGGGGTGCGTAGAAGATGTGCGTGCGTGCGCGGGGACATGCTGCATGTGAGGGGGGGAATGGCATGCACAGACGCGTGGCACGCGAGGAGGGAGCCGTGTGCGCACGTGCAAAGATGCGTGGTGTGTGAAGGGAGAGCTCCACCTCTAAGCCACCGCACCACTGAAGCGCCAACATATATCCCGGCCATTAATGAACAAGCTCCTGCATGTTTTCCTGCTCTCCCTTCCTGCCAGAGTGCGGTTCCTCCTGGGGGGTCGCCACGGAGAGTTCAAATTCCTGCCACCTCCGGGCTACGCTCCCTGCTACGAGGGTGTCCTTCCCCGTGAGAAGATGCGCGTGGAGCCCATCAAGGAGTACAAGCACGACATCAGTGGCTTCCGGAACCTCCTGGGCCCGACCCAGTCCTTGTCCCACACGTCCTTCATCCCTTACCCTGTGGATACTGTCCAGGTAGGGACATCTGGGCTTCCTTGGGCAGAGAACCTGAAA